CCGGCGTCGAAGGCGATTGCCGACAAACGTTTCGGACCATTCCTGTCGTCGGTCTTCCTCAGCGCGCTGTATGACCGAACAAAAAGAAAATAAAAATAAAAAAGATCAAAAAATTCATACCAGCCAAACCTGAGGAAGACTCAACGAGAAAAACAAAACAATCGGAATAATCGAAAAAAACCGTCAAAGAACAAGGTAACACTCAGCCATATCGACGCAGCGCACAACGGACAGCCCAGACATCACCCACATGACTCTGAGTACGCGAACCTCGACCTATCACTCAAATATCTTCATATGTAACACACTATCAACACTCCTTGCACATAAAATAATAAATGAACCAAAAGAAAGTCTTGAAAACCATCTTATTCTAAGAATTATAAAAAATCTGTTAATTATAAAGAATTTGTGATTGAAACCATACTTTCAAAACAATAAGTAGGGTCTATGCGAGAGAAACACTAAAGAAGCCACTAAATAAAGCGAAAGGCAGGAGTCTAGATTTCCGCAAATAAAGACAAAAAAACACATACACCCACCGTCAAACTGGAAATATAAGCCATTAAAAGCAACAAACGTAATGAGCCCCTGAAACTCTATTCCAAATTCACCACTCAACCACGAAAATGAACAATTCAAGCCTCCTTGAATACCTGCCACTGCCTTAAGGAAGTTTTGGTCTAACAGCTATACTCTACGTGAATTAAGAAGGCCAGAGAATGGGAGTGTTAGTGTGCTTTATATTCAGCGAAATTGGTGAAGGCCCCAGGATGACCTCAACAAATAAGATATACTCTTATATATTATGTCAACCCAGTTTAATAGAGAACTAAATAGGTAAAATAAGAAATCAGAGAGAGCCAAAAACTTCCACAAATTCATCATTGTTGCACATTAGCCATATGCGTGACAAGTAAAATATTAACAGCTGCAAAATCGACAAAGTTCTTCACAAGAAATCTGATTTAGTGTATATCTAAGGCGGTTTTTTCATTCCCAAATTCATAAGTATTTCCGGAATTTTTCCATGAACACAGTTGTTCTTTTTTTGCGACAGGATACTTTTAAATCCTGATTTTAACAGTGCTCTTTGACCTGTCATAGAACCTCCTTACCTTATCTTAAACGAGTATCTAGCTGTTATTATAAGGAAATTATATGTCGAGAAAGTCCAAGCTGAAACAGGCCAATATTGCAGGTTACCATGTATCCTCACACAGGCTCAGCGACAAAATACAATTGTGAATGACATCAGTATTGAATACCTGTGGAGCTTTTTTTAAGCACCAAATATGCTGAGTGACTATTTAACAACATCTCTGTAATACATCTGTTTCTTAAATGTACAGGTAACATGTATTTTTAATTCTGGTATTCTCATAATGCAGTTTAAATTTCTGTATCATGTGAGGTAACTTGAAAGACCCACCGACGAAAAAATAACCCACTAGCAAAAAAAGTAGTTAATCAACATTACTTTGGCCTCTCAGTTGGCAAAGCAATTTTGAAAAGAGCCTGAGAGCCCCAATATAATTTTTTTTGTCGTTAAACTTTTGCATGATAGAAAAAATTAAAACACATCACGGGCACCTCCACAATGTCCTATTAATTTGGAGGAACTGAAGGACTCAATCTAATAAGGGATTTTTATTTCGTTTTTACCAACTACTATTAAAGGAAGTCTTCGCTTCCCTCTAGACCAGAAAAATGTGTTACATTCACATTTAGTGAATCCTTGAATTTTTACCTCTATTACATATTAATTAGAGGAAATGAATAATTTGTAAAACCTACATGGAAATATGAACTTTACTGAACAGATTTATTGTTCTTGAAAATTTAAAATTCCCAAGGTAATAATGCCTACAATTGAAAAAGATAGCATTTTTAGACCACAAATATTCCTTAAAAATGAACTAATGAAACAATTTTTTGAAAACTGTTAATCTTACTTACTGGGAAAAGGCCACTCATAGGACATCTCTCAATATGTATATTGCCCCAATTTCTTGAACACCATAAAGCAGAAAAAATATACATACCAGAGTTGCTGACCTTCTCCATTTTTTATAAAGCTTAAACATTTGGGGTAAGATTAAGTAACCCCAAAGCATTTAAACATTGGTGGATTGTACTTAAAGACTTCCCTCCCGAAACTCTGAGGCTCTCCGCAATGAGAACCCAGTGAGAGTTTTCATCCAGGTAAATTTCTTACACAAGGAAAAACATGTACTAGGACAAGTGTTCTAGTATTGTTGGCTGGACTACTGGTGACCATGAAGAATATTTTTCAGATGACAGAATTAACACAAAAAAATCCCATTACCATCCACACCTTTAGAATAGAATTAAAAGTTAAATTAAGTCAGGAGATGATAATTCTCTTCATCAAGACATGTATGTTAAAATACTCTTTCAGGTCAATCTGGTATGGCAGGCACATCAATAAGTTTCATTCTTTATCATACCGAATCACCTTCAAGCAATTTATTTTTGCAATACTGAATTAAGTAGAAGAAGCAGAAAAAGTGAAGAAACTCAGATGATTTGAATCAAATCTGTTAAAGGACTTGCAGAGCACACACAGAATATTGAATAATGCCTTATCTATATTTAACGTGGCGAGACTCAGGCCATCAGGCTCGCATCTTCCGCTATTATCCACACAAATTTTTTCTACGCCTCCTTTCACCAACTACGCAGGGCTCTTGGGCAAGAAAACTAAGCAATGTGCAATTTTAAAACACTTTTTTTTCCAAGCAAATTATGCCCACGTTCATTTTTTTTTTTTCCCCCTTTCAAATACCCATTTTAAGGGGGGGGGGGCAAGAAGGATACATCACTTTTACACTGCAACGTAAAATCTAGACTACAAGGACAAGCCCGGCTTTACTTCCTCCTATGACAGGAAGCCTAAAAAAGCGAATTTTTTCGCACCTTTAAAAAAATCCATGTCTCATCTCGGCTTTGAACCCTACCCCAAATTGCGGTGTAATAATTATGCTAACCGCTACATCAAAATCCTAAAGATTTTCTACCCAACTTGCATCTTCTAGACTTCATCTAACAAGATTAATTGCTTGAATTGATGTGATGAGGTTGATTTTGTCACAACAAAGAGAACAGGCTGAGAAGGCCCCAAAGTGTTGTAACTTTAATATTAGACCCAGAGGAGGACCAAGTTATCCTAATCCTAATCTATATTAAAGAGAAACCCATTAATTTCCAACAACAATTAGCTAAATTAATTCTTTAAGAGTCTGAGAATGTCATAGAGTAGTTTATGCCCCCCTTAAAAAAATAAATGAAATCAATGTTTTTAAAAAATATGCATGAAGACCTAAAAAAATTCTTGAAATATTCACAATTAATAACGCCAATAAATTAAACAATATTATTCATTTTCTTGGATGAAGCTTTCTTTTTTGATAAAAAATTGAAACTTGGAAAATGAAAATATTAAATTTTGGCAAATATAATATAATTAAATGTACTCTATACTTCGTGGACGGAGAGAAAGCAACTAATGTAGTAATATTCACTTAGCTGAAAGTAGTTTATTGCAAGTTACTTGTCTAGCATTTCTTCTGCCTGGTTTAAAAATAAATATCAAAAATTTGCCTACATTTGCCAGCAAGAATATTTTATATTATAAAGAAAGGAGAAGGACTGGAAAAAAAAAGGAGGACACAAAAAAGAAAACACAAAGCAAACACACCAAACTAGTGAGAAAGCGCTTTGCAATCTATATAAATGCTCACAAAATAAATAATTCTATGGAGTGAAGGATAAAATAAATGTTTCAGAGTTAAGGCCGTTATTTTAACGAAATATGCAAAAATAATACACACCTCTATAATTACACGAAAAGAAAATGAACCAAGAAAAAGAAATCAGCCAAAAATATGCGACTAACATATTAATTTACCATTAAGGAAATCCAAAATTCTAACCCAAATGTCAAAAAATATCCACTTAGCTTTATGCCAACACATTGGCCCAAAATAATCAAATAAAATTATCTTAAAAAATTAAGGAAAAAGTAAATAAAAAGACTTATTAGTTTTGAACGAACACAAATCAATTTCATATACTAAAAAAAAAATTGAGACTACTTTTCTAT